AGGATAGTGACGACAACTATTATTATTGTCATTTTTACCGATTGTGCTAGTGATATTTTTATTATTATTCTCATTACTACTATTCTTATTATTATTACTATTATTATTTAATTTCATTTTATACGTTTTATATGGTGGGATTTATTCTACAATCTGTAGTCCTACATTGGGAGGGAGGGAGGGAGGGATTGGGAGATTTTGTTTATTTGTACTACCATGTTTGAATATGACTTAAAATGTGGGGACATGTATGTGACTTTTATGTGTATTTTTTTGGAAAATTCAATAAACACAATATAAAAAAAAAATTAAAAAAAATAGTAGGGCCTCTGAAGGTGCGTTCAGGGACCGCTGGGAAAACAGCCGGAGCTTTTTTGGCTGATTGAAGAGAAAGGAACAGAAAGCAGAGTTTGCCTCAGATTCCTCACCGGGTGGTGCTCAGTGGCCCGCGGTGGGCGGGGCTTAGGTGGGGCCTCGTAGGTGTCCTGCCCCCCCCCCCTTAACCCGGTTTAACCCCCGTCTCGACCCGCAGGCCTTCTCCCAGGTCCTGGGCGTGGCGGCGGAGGCTCTGGCCGGCGGCCTGAACGTCCTGCTGCAGCACACCTCCCAGTTCCTGCACGCCGCCGGAGTCCAGGGTAAGGCCCCGCCCACCGGCCCCGCCCACCGGCCCCGCCCACCGGCCCCACCCGTGGGGTTTTTATATCAAATACATGCAAAACAAACAGGGAATCAACAAAAAAAATAACCTTTTCGTTTGAAATCCATTGTCTCTCCATGTTATCGTCCAGTTTATGATCATTTCTATGAAATCATTGGAGGTATGACGTGGTTGCGTCGCCAAGCGAGAGGAACTGAAAACGTTTTATATTATATTTATATTATATTTATATTATATTACAGCACAGTGACCACAGAGTTCCAGGAGATCTGCTGACAGAACATTTTCTGTGTGTTGGTTTCCGACTATGATGCGAGGATACAAGGAAATATTCTGATTTAGTCCCACATGACAGAATAGAACCAATCGGGCTACTTTTGGTCAGAGATAACAACTTTTAAGAGCTGGCTAAAAACAAATTCCCACGAATGTCAAACCCTGAGTTTGGATTCAAATCTGAGAGAGACGAGTGAACGCAGGAAACCGGATCGATCCCCACAGTTTAAACCCATCAGACTGGTCCCAAAACCTCCCAAAAACGTCCCAAAAGACACCCGTGTCCTTATCTTTAACACCAAACAATATTATAGCTGAGAATGTTCCATCAGAAATCTGAAAAAAATACAATATATATCCGCAGAGAACAGGAAAAAAATGAGGCTTAGTTCAATTAAATGGAAATAAATGAGAGAAATTACGGGGCAAACGCTTCTGCTGTTTTTTTTCAGAGATGTTAGCCCTGCTGGATGATACCAAATTCCCACGAATTTTCAAACCCTAATGTCCCGATCCAGCTTTTTTTCACTTCCGATCCGATCCCGATCCCGGCCTATCAGAGCATGTGTTCAAGTTTAAAGTTATTCATCTACTTACTTAGTTGTCAAACTCATGTTGAACAGGGATTTACTCTGATAACAACTTAATGGTTAGGACACAGACCTGTGGGTTAGGAGATGCTAATGCTAATTAGGGTTGTCACGATACTAACATTTTCAACTCGATACCGATACTCAGGGAAATACTCGATACTCGATACCATTTTCGATACCACAAGGATAAAAACAAAGACCCCAAAATTTAACTGAATTTTGACAGGTTAATGTCTTTCATTTCAAACTGACCTGTTACTGATGTTATCGTGACTGGTGGCCCGTATTAATGACCCTAACCCTAACCCTGAC